GTGGTGTACTGCTGGGCCAGGGGCAGGGTGAGATTGGGCTGACGGAGGTGGTGTACTGCTGGGTGAGATTGGGTGGAAGCGGGGCTATAGTCTGGTGAATTTGGGCTGCGAGACTGGGTGCTTGAGGCATGGTGAGTTTGGGTTGAATTCCAGGCCCTTGGCTATGGCACAGTTTCATCACCATCTCCCCCAGTACTGCATCAATATCTACACTGTACTAATCCAGCACAGTGCATGGTTGTAATGATGTGCATTACACTGTCCAGTGATTGTACTTCATTGACCGTTTGGTATGTGTATCTGCACTGTAATAACCTGGCTATTAATGTATCACTAAGTGATTGAATTACACATTTTCACTTTCACTACTCATTGCAGACCATGAATAGAGTGTTAATCTCAGTGGTCCACCCTGATACACCTGTTTTGATTTGTTGCCTCTGTAACGCAGCTGCAGATCTGTTTTAATAAACAACAGTTACCTCTCAACTCCCAGCACCTAATTCTGAAGTGCTGTCAAGGTGTTGTCGGGACTCAGGTTTGAATATGACATAGACATACATGCTATATATGATTTTCTCAATGCAGGCTAGATATAGATTTGCGTAGAGTATACATGACCTGCAGTGCACTAGTACAATGTACAAGGATCTTGTCAGTGTGTAGCCTGTGTACTCTATGCTGCACGTATCTATCCCCTACAGCCCTTCTCTGAGATCGCCCAGCTGACTGATGTCCAGGAGGGCACGGTAGTGCGCTGCATCCAGCAGCTGAACGAGGTTCTCAGGGAGGTGCGGCAGGCAGCCCGAATCGTGGGGGACTCGGTCCTGGGCAGCAAGATGGAGAAGGCTTCCCTGGCCATCCGCCGGGACATCGTGTTCACGGCGTCACTGTACACACACTGACACGAGTATGGGTGTGAGAGAGAGCGTGAGAGTACAAGAAACGGGACTCAAACATAAACACAACATGTAAAATGGAGGACAGGACGGTTCAAGTTTGTAAATTATTGTGCAGTAATAAAATCTGCTGTATTTGTTCTGATTCTGGTTTGGCTTTTTTTTTTTTTTTTGGTACTGTCAATTTCTTGTCATTATCCAGTTCCATTTTTTTTGCTCTTACCAGTTACCAGTAAACTTGGCCATATTAATTTAGTGAAAGTGCCTCACCTTTAGCCCTTAACCACAGTAAAGGGCACAAGATACTACAGGACATGCTAGAATTAAGCCTAATGGCGAAATCTTTGAAGCCGATCCGTATACATTTCTCGTAGTTTCCATAACGATAAAAGTAGATCTGCAGCCAAATGTAACGTCTTTTAATCATTGCCTGGGGACGCGCAGACCCATGGATATTGTGGAGAAGTACTGCAAGACAAGACTGAAGTTTGACAGTAAGTATTAGAAAGGTCGTTCAGTTCAGTTGCTTTGGGTTATATACGGAACGCGTTCCTAATGTACAGTGTATGAGCAGGAGGCAAAGAGTTAACCGCGGGGTGAGACGCATTTCTATTAATGCTGGCGTTCGCGATGCCGCGCGCTTATGCGCGAACGCGTCCCTCTCCGGGTCAGGCGGCGGATTCCCTGAGTTCGCGCGGTCCCGCACCTGCGGGTCACCATGTTACCGACCGCGGGCGTGTGACAACCGACCGACCGGCCGGCGAACCGGGGCTCAGCTTGGACGCCCCCGAGCTACGCGCTCAACTCCCTAAAATCCTTGCTCTCTTTATCTTAGGCTGTCTCTTTAAGACAGCGATACCATGTCTGACTAATTCTATGTAACTGTAGCCCAGTGCGTTTTGCACTGAGAAAGCCTATTTATCGCCGTTTTGGCTGATTGTTAGAGCGATAAAACGAGCGACGGGGGATCTAAACAGCGCTCAGCAGATTGTTCTTATGCAGAGGATATTTTAATTAATATAAGTTTTCGTCTGAAGACAGTTTTGAATGCTTGTGTTTAATGATGTTATGAAATTTCCTGGGAAAAAGTAATTGTTTATATTTTAAGGAAAACAGGGGCTGAGGGAAAACAATCATAATCTCCGACAGCGCACTGAAATATATCTTTATCATATTAATTGAATAAGAAGGCTTATTCGTGACAAGGGGCAGACTGAACAAAAGGTTGCTAGCGATATCTTCAAGAGATGTCGTCGGAAAAACACGGTAGGATTCTTTTTCTCCATATTTCGTTGTTCCTCATTTTATAGCCTATGCTTGCCTACTAATTAAGGTAGGTTTCCTTGTGTGTTATTGACTGTAATTTCGCTATGCGGAACACGTCCTATAAATTGATTGCCCGTGTGTGTGTATATATATATATATATATATATGTATATATATATGTATATATATATATATATACACACACACACACACACACTATATTATATATATATATATATATATGTGTGTGTGTGTGTGCAGCACACAACGTCACCGATGCTGTTACAATGCGACGAACAATATCTCTCCATCTCCCCCCATTTTGCGGTTTTTCCATCTTTACGCACGCATCGTTTTGTCTGAACGCACATTTTACAATTATAATTATTATTTTGTCTGTCTCTCTTCTCGTTTCTGTGGATTCGCCGTGCATCCCACTGTGTCTGGGTTAAAATTCGCCTGTGTTGGTGCTTGTTACTTGAGTGTACAATGTGGTATTTTTTTATTTGTCGTTCTTGTCTCCTTTCTCCCGTGCACACCTTGTATCTAGGAGGGTACCAAGGTAAGGTGCAGTACCACGGCGTTTGCCTTACGTAAAACCTCAAAGAAACGACCGACTCCTAAAATGGGTACAGGTCACGCAGAAGCACACTGGATTCAAGCAGCATCCTCCGACAAATTAACCTTACTTGTTTTTGTAATTAGATGCTTTAATGCGGCCTGTGGGAACTTAAATAGCAACCAACTATTTTTAAGTAATCTGGGTTAGCTATTTTTTAAATGTACAACACTATACCCTCCTGGAATTCAACCAGCAGAAACCAGTTTCCTAACCACAGCACTACCAGATATATCGCACACTTGACTGATAAGGGTCTTACAAAGGGCATAAAAATAATTACTAATTACAGGCCCAGCGCCATGCAAATTCCCTCGCACTCTTCCATTAGCCCCTAAACTTTAATATCTTTAACAGCACATATTGTTTATGTGTCTTAGCATAACGTGCATAATGAGACATAGCAATAAAAATAACCGAAACAAAGACGAATTAAGATGGGCATAGTGATGAGTAAAATAGGCTATTTTACTGAACCGCTGCGAAAATATGTTCAGCCGTTTTATTCGGTCTGTAAATTTTTAAACACCAAAATTATGCGCAGGAATTTAAATCTGTAAATATGAATGTATGAGAAAATGGAGCACAACTTGCTTGCTAAGCACTTCTTAACATGTGGTGCTGCTTCGACCGCGCAGATTAAGGCCTTTATTAAACCATGTCTGGGCTTGTAAATTTAGCGGCGACGTCTGCCTGATAGCCGACATTCTACACTGCTGTCCTGCTTCTCAAAAGGTTCTCCTACAGGTCGTTTCACCTTCCTTTAGATCTGGCGAACGGTCTTACCCCGGTGGACTCGGGAGTTATATAATGCGCTTCCCCAAGCATAAAATCTCTCCTTGTGTCTTTCTCTCTCCGTGATCACGTTCATTGCCGGCCAGCTGAGCGTGTTTAGACTCCGTTAACCGCTTTTGTCCTGCTGTGATTGCTCAGATGTTCATGCATAAATTTGCCTTAGCGTTCTTGACAGCTTGTCTTTAAGTTTTGCGCAAGTATATGGCTCTACTCGTGTTCTGCTTCATTAGTGCTCCGTTTTGTCTAGTCAGGCTATTTGAGTAGACTATTCATTTAACATTTCTCATTTTAAAAGGAAAGGGGGTTCATGTGCCTGCTAAAAGGATTTTCTCAGAAGGCTGTTGAATTTCTCCGTCTCCTTCACAATTAATGTCCTTCTCATTCTTTCTCATTCCAACCCTCCCAGGTCTGGACGAGGTGGGACGTCAGGCGATGTCTCAGCCAATGACTCAGATATTGCCCCCACCTTATCACCCCTCCCAAGATCCCACTATGCCTCCCCACCCCCCTCCACCTGCCTGTGGCCCTCAACCCAACTACCCCCCACCCCCACCACCGCCTGCCTCCGAGGGTTACGTCCAGGAGACCCAGTTTCACTGTGGCACGCTTGGTGCCCCTGGGGCATCACAGGGCTACACTGTTCAGACACAGGGAGCAGGGGGGGTGGTTCCCCAACCCCCAGCGGGGTACCTTCACCCTGGATACCCCCTGCAATTACAACCCTGCACCGCTTATGTTCCTGTTTACCCCATAGGCACATCGGTGAGTGGGATCATATCCAAAATACTCAATTTCTGCATTAAGTATAAATAAACTAGTAGCATTTGAGAAGGAAAAAAGTCCATGAGGTATATGTGCTGATTAACCACTTTTTTCAGAGGCATTTTGAAATCTATGTGGTCAATGAATTTTTACTTAGAGGAGTCAGAATATGTGGTAAAATAATCAATCTTGAAACTGCTCCCCAAACTGCTCTCTAAGTTCCTGGGAGACGCACTGCCTCTGGGAATTCCATTCACTGATTGTTTTTATTAATGGAAATTCAGCCAGTGCTGAAGTCAATATCTTCACTGTAATAATTTGCTTGCACAAAACCTCTGGTGTCACTGTATGATTATCGATTGTACTGCATGGTTTAATAACATTAGCTGGGATAAATGGAAGCATAAGAAGAATGACAGATACTACGGCCCAGTAATAAGTGTGTGTGTGTGAGAGAGAGAGAGAGAATCGTGTGACCAGTGTGCCTTCTCTACAGGGACAGCCCTACATACAGGGGGGCGGCACCCATCCGGGGGTTGCCCCAGGGCAGATGGCCATGCAGATGCCCCCCGGGATTGCCCTGATGGAGCCTCGTCGGGCTCCTCACGATTACCTGCCCATCGCCGTCCTGACCACGGTTTGCTGCTTCTGGCCCACTGGCATCATCGCCATCATCAAGGCTGTGCAGGTGGGCGTGGCCCCCGTCGCGTGTGTCTCAGGAGCCCTTTGTGGGCTGCATTTTCAACCATTCCAACATGGTGTTCTAGAATTATTCAAAAAATGTTGCACACCTGGTACAACTAATTAACTAATTATTGCTTGAAATGCTTGGGGGATAATCAGTTACTGCTTAGTTTATAGTGACTCTTTGCTGGTCTCTCGCTCTCCTCCCAGGTGCGCACAGCTGTCGCTCGGGGTGACATGGTTACCGCGGAGATCGCGTCTCGCGAGGCGCGCAACTTCTCCTTCATCAGTCTGGCGGTGGGCATCGCTTCCATGGTCCTGTGCACCATCCTGACCGTCGTGGTTATCATCGCCTCGCAGCACCATGACGATGACTGGGAGCCGTAGGCGTGGGGCGAGAGATGGTGGGGGGGGCTGCTGATTGAATTGCTAACTGACTGACTGAGCCAGTCACAGACTGAGCTGCTAATTCAGACGTGAGCTCATTAGCGGACAGGACGCCCCTAGCAACCCTGTCTTTGGCCCCGCCCCCCTACATTTACACTCCATCCCAGCCCTGGGATCGCTTCTCCCTTCCAGAGACATCGCTGTACAGAGGTTTACAGTCCTAGTATTTCCGTAATTGCCAAATACGTCATGAGGCATAACTCACCTATAATGTACTATCAAATTTACGTTATATATATATATATAGAGGTATTATAATATTGAAAACCTTGTGTTTTCTGCTTGTTACATTCTTAATTTATTAGCTGCATAAACGTCACTGGTTGAACATGTATTGATTTACTTTGAAGACGTGCCATATAACTTTTATATTTTGAATTAATATTATTGGAACAATCATTAAATTACACAAAAGGCACAAGTAGTCCTAAATACTGCTTGGGTTGGTAGTCATATTCCTAAATGGTTAAATGCTAGGTTATTATTGATTAGATTGTGATGTAACCAGATGTTCTGCTGAGGCTATAAGTGTACAGTGATTTGTTGCCAAAATGCAATGCTTAAGCCTCGCGTGGCATCAACTGATGATCCTGGTTTCACCCAACTGGGAAAAGGTCACCCAGTCTGCCTGGCCAGCAGGGGGTGCTGTGGCCCATGACCTCTAGGTAAGGGCGATGAGCTGGAGTTGATAGGGCTACCAGAAGGGATGAAACATCAAAAGAAGATGGCAGGTTCTGAATCTGTTACTATCTGAAATTGCCAAACATAGAAATTGCTGCATGTAGTCCCCTTTTGGCAATAGACTGATCAGGTGATACATGCAAACGTGACAAACGACTGACCAACCAGTCTTACACTTATATGTTTCTTGCATTTAGTCATAAGAGCTGCATCAGATCAGCTCGTGTAACTAAATACCAAGAGTTTAAGGGCCTTGCGTATGTTCGGACAGTGAAAAGTCTTGTGAGTTGGTGTTACTGTCAAATACTGTATTTATGGCAAGATCCTTATAACTGTGCAGCCTCCTGATCTCCTTCCCCTTAGACGATCATTTAGGAGAGAAAAGCTTATGTAGTGAGTAAAATATTAATAAAATCACAGATGACTTGACTAAGATTGCTGTTACTGATGACAATGACAATATTCCATTTGAATACAGAGCCAAGTAATGATCAAAATACACCAACTCTGACTGAAGACAGATACGCATTTAGCTGGAAACACGGACAGCTGCTCTAGGTGGGCAACACACAGTGGTATTGTCACAGAGTGTTACTGCGAGAAGTTGCTTGCACACGTTATGGCAGCAGACCTCTGAAATATGTACTAGTGCAGTGTGTGAAAATGTTGGCGTTGCTATGGGCCCTCGATAAAAGCAGTGGATTGTCTCAGACTGTGGGTTTTTGAGGGCCGTTCAGGATCTAAGCCTAAATTCACAATCATTTTGGCTCGCTGGGTGCCATCTGTGTCCAAGTCCAGACTCATCTGGTCATTTTTTAACCATCCGTAATTGCTCTGATCCCATTATCGGTTATGCTATGTATTTTTATTATTTATACAGTGAAACTGCCTCTGTTTCAGAGCCAAAATGGCTGCCGTGCCTCTATCTTTTGACTAGAGCAACAGTTTTGAGTGAAATGAATGATTATGTTGAGAAACTAAAGAGGGAAAAAAGTCTTGTACTTTTTTTTTTTTTTTTTTTAATTCTCTGTTCTCCAAATGTTATGCTTGGCCTCTAGCAAGATATTGAGTTAATCTTCTTACCCTTCCCCAGTTTCTAGTATTGAATTTTTCTTTGTTATGGTAAGAGTGCCGCTTATAACCTGGTAAAATTTAAGACCAATGCTATTTTTTAACTATGTTATAGTTCTTACAAAAGCTTTGCTTTGTGTCAGTTATGTGAATGATTGCAATGACATAATTTAGAGTGTGGCAGATTTTATCTTATTATTACTATTATTGTCATTATTATTCTCGTGCATGTTACTTATTTGGGTTATATTTAAACAGGTTTCTGCTCTGATTTTCGATGTGTAAATATTCTAACTGAAATACACGTGCAGAACCAAGGGGAACGTCTCGGTGTTCATTCTGTAGTCCACTAGCTTACAAGTGCAAAGCGAAATCGAGAGCTGCTTCACGTCGTGAAAATTACAAACAGCCTTCCTGCGGTTTGAACAGTCCTTCAGTGCGTTTTCCACTTTAATTGCTTTCCGCATTCATCATACTTTCTGGTTACCAATTAAATTCCTTCCTCTTTATCTCAATCTCAGCCTTTTAATGTGATGAGCGCCGTGACACAGAACGCACGTTTGCATGTGTTTATTTCAATTTTTTTTTTTTTGTTGTTGTAAGATATGCTTTTCCTGTGGAGGGATCCAAGTCAGTTTGGGTGAAATTAGGCCGTGCCGGAGCGGGTTCCAGGAGGCGCCTGCTTTGCCCAGTCTCTGGTCATTCCCATGACTCCAATGTGCTATTTATAGTTAGCCTGCTTTTCTCTCTCCCTCTGTTTCTCTGTCTCTCCAGCCTCCCCTCCGCGCCGCGTCTTATTGACAGGTTCATGTGAATAAAGTTCTCTACTCTTGTTTCCCAGCTCATATTTCCTTCCTCCACCGGTTTCTGCATTTTATCTTTGCGTTCTTATATGGCCCTAATGTTATCGTCAGCCTTTGTGTAAAATGGTAATTAAATAGCATATCTAGGCCTTGCTTTATTTGAAGTGCATCGGCTGGCATTTTGTATTTTACAGAAAGCTGACTTATTAGAAATGATTTTTAAAAATGTGAGAAGTGTCATACAGTATCTGCACACCCAGCAGACACCATGGAATGTTAACGCCACGTTTAAACGGAGAAGGGCAATACAGCATTCTCCAACTGGGCAGCATCTGTCCTCTGATTGGCTGGGTTCCGTTGTCCAATCGCACGGCACAGAAACAAAGGCTGATGCACACTGCATATGCGGTGCTCTTTACAAGGGGGGGAGAGATAGATGAGCCATTGCCAGCAGGATCACAGATGGTCATTTAGCCTCCCAAAGAGACTCAGTGCCTCCAATCATTTAACACCCTGCTCCTGTGGAGTGTCTCCATCCATAGCCTCTACTTCCCCGGGTCTCCGCTGATCTGACCTGCCCCCCCTCCTTCGCTGCATGTGTATTGTCACCCAAGCAGAGTCGCTGTGTTTTACACGCCAAGCAGGCCAGCTCCACGCTTGATGAATGACTCATCACAGACACGGGATACTCTGAGCAATCTCTCATCCATATCAGTGCATCACTGGAGAAAGGTATTGACATAAATTACTGTTATATTAATGTATAAAACCTTCAGATACTTTAAACCCTCCAATCAGATAAAGGTATTTCTGCTCAACTTATGACAATTTTTTTATGGACATTTCCAAAAATACATACTGTACAAGGAAAAGCAGATTGCTTCCTTTTCCATCTTAGATACTTTTCCAGCCTCCCACTGTCCAAATATGATGGCTGGCCCTGTTCTTGTTATTCCTACTCCCTCCTGCTGTGCCCTCTGCCTATGTCTACTTTTTTGCAAACATACTGACAGAGGCAAAGGGAGGCATTGCTGCAGTGAGCCCTCCTGGAGGATAGGGGGCGCTGTGATGACATGGGAAGCCTCTTGGACACCATTAGCCTGACATAGGCGGCGCTGTACGTCAGCAAGAGACGGTATGCTGTTTCCTGCAAAAATAAAGCAAAAATTCATGTTTTGACAGATTTAACAGTACGTGATTTAATCATTGTGCAATTTCATTTTCCCCTAATAAATGGCATGTGATTCAGAACCTCACAGTGCTGATTCGTCAAATAATATGGTACAATTATGAATCTTGTGATATTAATATGTAACAGGACTCGGTTATACGAAGAGCACACAAAGGATTGTGGGATGTAAATAGTTCAGTGACATCCACATATTATATTCTAGGATAAATGGTACCAGTTGATATTTAGCCAGCAAGACAAAACACAATGCTGTTTATTATGGTATGGCAATATTAATATTAATATATTATTCGACCTGGATGGGGAGGTTGCAGTCTGGTACAAGGCTGTAATCCTTGGTGAGTTTTATATCCTCCCTCTGGGTAATAGGAGTACTACCAGAGCCCTGTTCATTCTCCACCAATAGGGGGCGCTCTTCATCAGCCCCTTCCTCAGTGTATGAGCTATCTTCTTCATGCAAGTTTGTGACTTTTGTTGCGAGGAGGAGGTGGGACATTTTCTTGTTGAGTTTGTGCTTAGAGAGAAGAAGTATCATTCAGTACTTACAAGTTGACATGCAAAATCCATAACTTACATTTGAACAAAAAAAGATTCCTAATGTGTATATTGTCCTTCATGAATAGACATTACTAGTCTTGGTTTTGATGAATGAGTACTACCCAGTTTTTTAAATATTTGTCTCACAGGATTAGACTTCAAACAAGGCAGAGACCAGGCTTACACAAAAATGTTCTGAAGGCAGAATGAAAAATGATTGGTTCAGAGAGATAGCCAATCAGACTGTAGTGGAGGTGGGTCCAAGCGGCCCACCCCCTCTAGTTGCTTAGACCTACCTCCACTACAATCTGATTGGTTATCTCTCTGAACCAATCATTTTGCATTTTCCTCTCAGAAAATTTTTCTGTAAGTAAATCTCCCATGAGCACAAACTAGGCCAGACGAGTGGTACCGAGAAAGCTCACTGCTGTCTGAGGCTGCATACCTGCACTTCATCCCTAATGAAGCTCATCTCCTCCAGGGTTTCTGTCAGAGCCCCCAGACAGGGTGAGAGATCCCAGTGCACTAAGAACAGCTGAACAAAGGTCAAGGAAGAAAATCCCTAAGGGGCCAAGAAATGAGACTCGACAAATGCAATGGAACAGGTGGCGAGGAAGAGGTCCGATAGTATGCGGATGTTACATGCTAAATGCTGTCCTTAGCATCTCGAGGCTCATTAATATAAGTTGTGAGTTGCTAATATAAGACAGAAGTGTGAAGAAACAAATAGATCGATGATTCACAAAGAGCCGGTAATTAGGTATGGGAGAGAACAACAGATGGCAAATGAAGTAGGAGAATCAATAAACTGTCACATGGAGTACACAGATGGTTGAGAAGTAAGGGGAAATTTACATGTAATGTAACAGTAAATACAATAGTAACAGTAAAGTAGAAATAAGAGTAACAGTACTAATATGACTAGTACAGTATAATTTTGTTAATATTATTACAGTTTGGAAATCTTACCCCCGATTTTCACTTAACTGCCATTGTCCTCAGTTCTTTTTCTGAAATCGCTACATGGAGGCCAGGAACAAATTATGTGTGTTCCCCTGATTTACATCCCTACTAATCTGTCCCCAAATCAGCTGATCAGATGCAGGACATCAAAGGTCCCCAAGCTTCCTTCCTGTGTAGGACAGAGGCCACTCTGTTACCGTCACAGGGTGCTCGGGGTAGAAACAGACAAACATCCAGATTCAGAGCTGGGGCCATGTGCAGAGAAAGTGCCTGAATTACACAAATGACCGTGGAAGGACTAACATATTGTGCGGTTCATGGATGGGGTGGATTGGTCCTTAGACCAATTGATTTCCAAAGGATACCTGTTGTACGCCAACACAGTGATGCACCCAATCTGCTAGACCCACCAATAATCCATGTCTGACCAGCCTCTCGTTCACCTGAATCAGCCTGACATCTGTGTTAATGTTGATCTACAAAGAAAAAGCACCACAATCATCCCTAAAGGTACTTGATCCATGTCATCCATTCTACCAACCTCAACACACTGACATTAATGCAATGAAAGAGGGCTAACATTCTTGAAGCTGTAATATTCAGTTTCAGTCACCAGGTGGTGCTATATGAAATTGCTATCCGATGAGAACCACTTGGGCTACGCTCACCTGTTTGTTGCTGTGATAGAGGACAAAGATGATCACAGACGTGACAATCACGGACAGCAGTGTGACGGCAAAACAGAGGATCCAGAAATCCGAGAGGTAGAAGCCAAAGTATAGGTGTACAGTTGAGTACAAGCCACACCACATCACCACGTACACCGCCTGTCCGAGAGCAATAAGCGGCCTTCAGACTGACTGGATGCCAGTGTTCACGAACACTGCGCTCAATGAAACGTCTTTGTACCCAAAAAGTAACAGTACTCTGTAACATAAACACTCCACTGAAGCTAGTTAATGCACTTTTTGCAAGTGCATGCTAACTGGGAAGCACAACACAGTGCTACCACACCAAGACCTGACCCCCAAAAAGGTAAAAGTAGGAGAAAGCGGGATCTCGGCAAGCATGGGATAGATCTCACCACTGCTATGAAGAAATGTGAAATAGAAGAGCTGAAGAAAAGGTATCTTCGTACAGGAGGGGCATCCAATGCTTTCCCAAGCGGGATTTCAAAATCTTCAACAGGAATCTAAAAGGGAAATGAGGAAAATCGGAAACTCTGCCAAGTCAAATCAAGTGGCGATGCGCGAGCGTTGGCATCATCATGCTCTGAACCAGACCACTCCCCGGACATAATGCTCAGTGTTGACTCTCCGCCCAAATGGTGTGGAATTGTATCAATACAAGAAAAGCAGTGACCGCTAAAGGGGAGCTGAATGTTCCCTCATACTGGTCTGGATCAGGATATTTGTATTAATTTAAATGTAATGAATATACACACAGGTGATTCTACAGCCTAATTAGGTGCTTCCGCCAGCCTGTTTTTTGTTTCAGCCTCACTAGAAAATCCATCCATCCAACTTGTCCTATTCAGAGTTGTGGTGGGAGGGGTTGGAACTAGAGCCCTGCATTGGGAGCAGGATCCCGCGGGTCCCGCGGGACCCAACGCAAATCTCACGGGATTGGGCGGGTTTTAGATTGTCGTGGGCGGGAGCGGGCGGGAGCAACAGAGATATTGGGCGGGATAAAAATAGACAGCGGGTCCCAAAATTGTTAGCTTAGCAGGATGGAGGATGCAGCTAATGATTCTAAGAACTCATCAGAGCGAATAAGAAGGAC